TGACTAACTCCCTAAATGGGCCCTCACTTGTCTCTGATCTGTGTTCATCTTCCAGGGCTGCTGTTTGACCTGCATCCTACATGTGGTCCAAGCTCCACAGCAATGCTCTTTTTGGCCTGGGCCGTCAATTGTATATTTGTGAAAGAAAAAATTCATGGTGAAATAGCTTTGGAAACACAGATTTAAAGAGATTCTTTGCTATAGTACTTCTCAGCTCTTTTGATGAGCTTATATGGCAAAGGGGACAGTGTGCTGTGTTTTCTAGACCTGTTGTGGTCATTAATTGGATCTCACAGGAGACCCACTCTCCTCAAGATGGCTAAGAAATCTTGCACTGGCTGCTTTGTATAGACCTTGCCTGTTAACTGTCTGGCAGGTCCAATAAAGCCATATGTGCCTGAGCAGTCAGAACTGCAGGCACCTTGAGTTCAGCTGGGCACTGTAGCCTGAGTGCAGGTGTTTCCAGAATCCTGAGCTCTGCTGGGGGAACAGGAAGGGGTGACAGAGGAGGAGACAATGGGGGTATTGTGGCATATCAAAGCTGGAGCATAAACAGGCTTGGCAAGGAAGGTAGTGAGGTAGTAGCAGCAGTGATGACAGGCCATCTGGTTCTGTACTCCAACTGAGGATTATTTCTCTTAATAAGGCCTTGAACCATAAAGGCCACAGGCCTAGACCTGCTCCACAAGGGCAGGAGTCTGGCGGTAGAGCCGTGGAACCAACTTTTCCTTGCCAGTTAGTAGTAGTTGGCCAACAGAAATGGGCAAAGTGTGGGGAGGTGGTGGTGGTGCTATATTATTGTATGGTGATAATTTTTTCAGGGCATATTGTATTCTTGGCTTTGTGCCAGATCCCAGAAGTGAAGAAGAATTTTGAAAAAGAGAGGTGAGGGGCTAGAGTGTAGAGCTTAGTGTAGAGCTCTTGCCTGTTTGAGGCCGTCATTTTGATTCCCAGTATCTTTTTTAAAAGGTAGTAAAAGGGCCTGAGATCATGAAAAGCCTAAACCCAGAGGTAAGGAGGGCTCGTTGATCTTAGCGGTTGGTGACTCATTTGCTCTAACGGTGAAAAGGTTATCTACTTAGAGGAGCTAACAGCTCTCAGGCTTCCCTTGTGGAAAGACAGGGTGCTAATCACTGAGGGTGAGTTCAGAGACATGTTGGGAAACTCCAGTAGAGGGCTCAGGTTCAGGAAAGATCAGCCTGGCCTCACTTGTGGCATTCATGGGCACATTAGACAAGAGTGAGACCAGGCTACATGGCCCATGAGAAAACATTGACTATGAAGAATGGAACTGAAAAATCCATCAAAGAGGCCAAGGGAAGAATGTCTCCAAGGGAAATTCATGAACAGGTCAGCAAAGGGGTCCTGCTGGCAGCCTTGGTGACTGCCAGGGAGAAGGGAAACCCTGATGTCACTGGCTGAAATCACCGGGGACAGTGAAACAGGACAAAACTCAGATGTTGGTGGAAAAGATGGGGACCATGGGTGCTTCACTGAGTGATTGTGACCTACTCTTTGGAGGGTTTCTGAGGCTGTCAGCAGCCTGGTGAGGTATTATATCTTGGAGGGCAGATAGCCCAGAGGTCTTTGGGAGGTAGCAGGTACTATGAGATGGACAGAGAGGTGGCCAGACAGCCAGGAGTGGTGATGGATAGAGATGGTGTGCAGAGATGGGTGGAAATGCGTGGAAGTCAGATGTGGACACTGCTGGATTTCTGGCCTGGGGGCATGGGAGGTGGGCAGCATAGTTCTGCGAGGAGTGTGAGGAGCATATACTAATGCCCTGATGGTGGACTCCTGCTTATGCCCTTCCTGATTTGGAAGGTACATCCACCCTTGGGAATTTTTTCCTAGGACTCCTGACATCTCTAGCATGTGTGGCAGGTGATGGGTTCTCTCCATTCCCTGCCCAGTGGTTCTTTAGGGTCTCTCCCCTGGCCCCTAGGGACCTTAGTTCAGGCCTCCAGGCTACCCCTGCTTGGCAGGAGGGTTCATTGCCACTCAGGCAGGCACAGACCTGCTCTGCCCAGCTCTGAGCTACTGGACTCAGACCCTGTAGTGGGTCCTGGCCAGACTTCCCTACTGTAGGGCCCAGCAGCTGCTTGTACCTTCTGCCTTCACTGCTCGGCTTTCGTCTCAACCAGTTAGCAGTGTGCTTCTGTCTCACCCAAGACTGTAGGTATCCCTGACGTCACAGCGGCATGGAAATATACCCCTTTGGGTAGGTCCTTGGCAGGTGTCTGACCTGTAATGCAGCTCCCTAGGCCAGGGTCAGTATGTAACTGTGGGGTTGGAGGTCTAGTTCGGCTCTGGTCTGGTCCTCTGGGTGTTCAGTTGGCCCCATGGTCCCATAGGTGTGATTCCTTCATAGTCTTAATACCCCCAGGCAGCACCCTTGGGAACTCTGCTCCCACCTCACTGTGCCCCAAAGTGCAGGTGGCACTGTGAGGCCCGGTTCCATGGGAGCAGTGAGATTCTTCTGGTGGTTTTTTGGTGATTTTACCTGTTCGCCATGCCCACCTCCGGTGTTGCTGGAACATCCGCTGGGAGCACTGTCTCCCTCTTTAGGAAGCTCTGCTTTAGTCTTCATCTGGGAGGGGGCAGCCAGTGAAGGGATGGAAACCAAGTGGGAGAGAGTGACCTCCAGAGAGGGGCTGCTCTTGCATAGCTGGGAGGTGAAGGATGAAACTGGTATGGGATGAAATTCTGTATGTCTAGGACAGTGTAGAGGTGGGCAGGGGTATCCTTAGGCCAGTCTGAGCAGGAATGGCTATCAGTTGGAGAAAGGCTAGCCAGACAGCAGTGAGGATGTCAGCACCATGTGCTAAGTCTGCCCTGAAACCAGAGAGCTGACAAGCTCCTATGCAGGCAGATCTGCCATGTCCACCTGTACTTTCAGACACCACCAGGTGCTTCCCTTCCTCCAGAACCCCCAGAGCAGCTGGGCTGCCTCCGGAGTCCCTCCCTCCACAGGGCCCCTGGCAGGGTTCCTGCACCTGGCTGCCCATTTTGTGGCTGTGACTGTGGGCCGTGTGGGCCTGGCCTGCTAACACTCTCTTTCATTGCTCTCTCCTGCCCATCTGCATGTGGCTGCTCTGTCTAGCTGCGCGGTGGTCCTGAGCGCCGGCTGTGTAAGTGAGCATGCCCATCCCATGCCTCTCGCAGTCCATGTGCTGTGCCTGGCTGCCTGGGTCTGCTCTGCATGGCTGTGTGGGGGTTGGTGCCACTGACAGCCCATAGGAAGGGGTAGAACGGGAATGAGGGGCTGTGGGTGTGATTTCCTCTGGAGCAGTCACTCCAGGCAGGCCTTGGGCATGGCCAGGCTGAGGTGGGCCGGAGGTCCTGGGTGCTGGCAGGTGAGGCTGGGAAGTGAAGTACCATCTTCCTGTATGTGTGCCCCTGTACCCGTGTGTGTGCTGTCTCCTTGCCACTGCTGCTGCATGCCTGCAACCCATGTGGGCACATTGCTGTCGCGTATTGTCTGCAGGGCGGCTGCCTTCACACTGTGGTGTGCTATGCTCATCCCTGCATGTGCTCTATCCCATATGGGTGTGCAAGCTGCCTGGTGTCTCTTGACACCACGGTACTGTTAAATCTTGTGTTACCGCTGGCTGTTCCCATGGCCCAGCCTTCCTTGTGCTAGCCCCAGTCTCTGGGTCTTCATAGTGTAGAGCCGGGTGCAGGGGGCAGCAAGGAGGGTATTACTGAGTCTGACATTCAGGGAAGCTGTGGATAGGACCACACTGATCAGAGACCACACAGCCAGCCCTTGGGCAGGGCTGCCTTTCCCCTGGTGGACTGCCTTTGGCACCTCCATGGAGTGGCAGACCACCAGTCTTCCTCCTTACATTCCAGTCAGTATAAAGGTCTCCAGAGCAGGGTACTACTGGCTTTGACCCAGGAAGCCAAAGGAAGGGGCCAGGATGAACACAGGAGATCCCTTCCCCCGCCCCTACCCCCAGCCCTGTCTTCCTAGCCCCTTGCCCTGCTCCCTGCTGCCCGCCCTGCTTTATTTGGCTCCCCTCACCTGGCCCTGATCCCCTCTCCCTCCGCAGGCTCTTCAGCAGCCTCAGTGAGCTGAGCACCATCTCAGCGCAGCGCAGCCCTGGGGGCCCGGGCGCCGGGGCCTCCTACTCGGTTCGGCCCGGTGGCCGCTACCCAGTGGCGCGACGCGCCCCGAGCCCGGTGAAGCCCGCGTCGCTGGAGCGGGTGGAGGGGCTGGGGGCGGGCACGGGGGGCGCGGGGCGGCCCTTCAGCCTCACGCCTCCCACCATCCTCAAGTCGTCCAGCCTCTCCATCCCGCACGAGCCCAAGGAGGTGCGCTTCGTGGTGCGCAGCGTGAGCGCGCGCAGCCGCTCGCCCTCGCCGTCGCCGCTGCCCTCACCCGCGCCCGGTCCCGGCCCCGGTGCCCCCGGCCCGCGCCGGCCCTTCCAGCAGAAGCCACTGCAGCTCTGGAGCAAGTTTGACGTGGGCGACTGGCTTGAGAGCATCCACCTGGGCGAGCACCGCGACCGCTTCGAGGACCACGAGATCGAGGGCGCACACCTGCCCGCGCTCACCAAGGACGACTTCGTGGAGCTGGGCGTCACGCGCGTGGGCCACCGCATGAACATCGAGCGCGCGCTCAGGCAGCTGGAGGGCAGCTGACGCCTCACCCTGCTTCCGCCCCGCTGCGCCCTGCCGGCAGGGCCCCCACCCCACCCCGGGCCGCAGGCTCGGCCCGCCCCCGACGACGGCCGGGCCAGGAATGTTGCATGAATTGTCCTGTTTGCTGTTGCTCGGAGACTTGCCCTGTACATTGCTTAGTGCCCTCCCCCGCTGCCGAGCCCCACCCAGTACAGTCAGGAGGGCTCGGACCAGGGAGGCTGGGCGGAAGGGGCTTGGGGGGACTCTGGCCGGACCCCTTCTTCGCGGCTCCTGGTGGCCATCCTCCCCGGAGGGAACCTAGTCCAGCATGCGAGGTCAGGACACACCTTGGTGACTCGGGGGGAGGGGGGAGACATTGGGGTTCTCGATGGGGGCCAAGCAGCCCCCTGTTTTGCATATTTTAATCCACTCTATATTTGGAACGAGAAAAGGAACAAATATCTCTGTCCGTAACAGTTCCCCACCCCCTACCCCCTCGCCCTCCTGCTGGTCCCGCCGCAGCCGCCAGTCTTCCATCTCCCGCCCCTCACTGCCACCCCCCACGGGGCAGGGGACGCTCCAGCTGGTCTGGGGCTGGCCAGGGTCCTGGTGGCCCACCTGGGGCCCCGGCTCGGCCTCTTCCCTCACTGAGCTGCGGTGCGCCCCGCCCACCCTTCAGGTGCTGCTCGGGGAGGCGCACGGGTCTTGTTCTACTGGGCGCCGGCGGGCCGGGGGCCTGGGAGGCCGTCGCCCTGGGGCTGGGGCTGGGCCCTGGCACTCACCCCCAGCCATCTTCCTCACAGGGTCTTTCCCCGGCTGGGGGCGCTCCAGCCTCCTCCTCACGTTCTTGGGCAACTACAGCAGAGAAGCCTCCCTGCCTCCGCCTGAAGTCTCCTGTCCCCCGCGCTGTGTGTGTGCGGCCTGTGTGCCCAAGTGGAGCCTGGGTGCAGCAGAGCTCGTGGGAGCCCTGTGTTTGCCTGGTCGTGTGGGGCCCCAGGGGCTGTTCTGGACTTCGTGGGGCTATGGACGAGGGTGTGTGCGTGGGTGTGCCTGTGAAGCACCCTGTCTCTTCCAAAGAAAGTGAGAGGCGTCCTACCCTGGTCCTGCTGTTTGCCCTGGTCCTGCTGTTTGCCCCGCTCCCCAGCCAGAGCAGGGTTCCTTGGGAGTCCCTGCCGCTCGGGGAGGCCACAGGGCGCCCTGGAGGCGGTGCCCCCCTTTGGGCTTCACAGGGGATGGTGGAGGACTCCTAGAGTCAGGCCACCACAGGCCCTGAGGAGAGTCAGAGACTCCCCCGCCAAGGGTGCCCTGACCCCCCTACTGTGACTCCTCACACTCAGCAATGACCTGTGGGGTGGGGGGCCTGGGGGCATTTTTAAACCTAGGGTTTGGAGTCTGGACTAAGCTCCATCCACGTCACTCACAAGTTTCTGTTTATATTTCTAGCTTTTTTTAATAAAAGAAAAAAAGACAAGAAAACAGAAGTTTTCACAGCCCAGGGGCCTGGCATGCCGGTCTGTGCCCACCCAGCCTGCTGGCCCAATTCCCTGGGCATAGTCACGCCCACTAACCCTCTCACCAACAGACCAGGTCACACACAGCAGTCACTGTAACAGACTGCCGCATACACACTCAGTCTCACACTCACCTGTGGGTTTTTGGTTCTGTTCAATTTGGGTTTTTAACTTTACAGGGTCAGTTCTGCTTCACCCCTCCTTTTGTATGGAGTTCCATCCGGGGACTTTCACTCCCTGCTCCAGTCCTGAGGCCTCCTGACCCTGACGTTGTGATACACCCCACAGAGATCTATGTTTCTTATATTATTATTATTGATAATTATTATAATATTATTATGTAATAAATTTATAAGAAATGAAGGCCTGACTCAGTTGCCTCCTTAAAGGATGTGGGGAGCAGAGTCTACCCTTTGTACCTCATACTGACCACACAGACCCACCCTTGACCCAGTGTGTAGTGGCTCTACTGTGTCTCTGCCCTACGCCTCTGTGCTGGCTTCCCTGCCCAGATGCCTGGCTCGTCCCTCATCCACTGGACCTCAGCCCAGGCTCCCTGCACTGGTGCATCTACTGTTCAGCTGTTCGCTTCGCGGCATCCCCTCAGCTAGAAGTCCAAGGCTTCTCCTCCATGGTCTATGTCTCTGTGTGTGTGTGTGTGTGTATTGGTAGGGTTCAAATCCAGGGACAAACATATGCTAGGCAGGTGCTCTGCTACTACCAGATTCTCTTCTTACATTTTTAAACCTAGGGTTTAAAACCCTGTACCAGTGTCCAGTTTAAAAAGACCTGCTGGTCTTTATTTCAAATTCTGTCACTCACTATCCTGTCTATGGCTGTTGATTGTGTTTGAGCCTCACCCCACCACTCTGAGCTGATGTGTTTCCCTCCCATAGTCCTGCCCTGCTCTCAGTAGTGCCAAGCTATCTCTGCATGTGAGGGAGCCCATGGGGGCATTCTCACGCCCCTCCACTGCACTCTGGCTTGCCTGCGGCCCCTAGCCTTGCCACAACCTTACAGTCCAATCCCTGAGCCCATGACAGTGCTTCAAGTCTGACTGCTCTTTTCTACCTCCTGCCTGGATTACCACCCTTCATCACACTTACTGGCTAAGCTCCATGACCCTTCTTTCAGGAAACCTTCCCTGCCCTCCCTTCCCAGAGTCTGAGCTGCATGTTAGCCTTGCACCTTCCCAGCCCTGGCACTCTCACATTAGAGGCAGCTGGAGCTTCTCACTTTGGGTGGTCCCCTAAAAGGCAGAGCTTCTCCGCGTTGTGAGATTTACTTTTTCCTTCTCCCTGGAGCCAGGCCCCACGGACTGAGATGTTGTCCCTCAAGAGTACATAGGTGGTATGTGAGCAGCCTGCGACCACGGACTCAAATGTGGCAAGGGAGGGTCACCCATGTGGCACCCTCTGGGTGGCTGGAAGGATGAAAGTAGAGTGATTGGGTAAGCAGATTCTTGCCCAGCGAGAGGGCAGGGAATGGGCCAAGGGCCAAGGTGTGAGGCCACCCAAGGGAGGGGTTCTGGAGGGACAGTGGCTGCAGAACCTGGTCACATGGGCTGAGGGACATCATGAACATCACGTAACAGACTTTAGCCTAAGTCAGCATTGCTGGTTATGGAGCCAGCAAGAGAATCAGGAAGAGCCCGAGGGACCAGGACACAGCCTGAAGTGTCTATGAGGGGAGCAGGTCCCCCACCCCCAGCTCTGGCAGGGAGGGTCAGGAAAGTGTAGTGGCCCAAGAGGGATGGCAGAGGCAGTCCCGAGGCTAGGATGGCCACTGTATTTTGTCTAGAAGGCCCTACAATTCTAAATGTTCAACATTCAAAATTTTAAATCTTATTTTCAAGTTAGAAACTGTCCATCATACAGAAAGGACAAACAGAAAGTCCAGAAAAAAGGCCTGGGGAAAGATCTGAGTGCTAATCTGCAGGTGCAACCCTGGGTGTCTCTTGATGGTCTCAGAACATGGGGTGCTTCAGCTTTTCAATGAGGAAAGAAAGGCTGGCTTCCCTCTGTACAAGGGTGGGAAACCTGGCTTCTGTGGTAATAGCACTGCCCACTTTGATTCCCAAGGAATCTGGTGGGCTGAGGGAGAAGATGAACACTGCCCAGGCCAAAAGCCTCAGGGCCTTCAAGGCCTGAGCCAGAGAAACCTGCCAGACAGGTAGGAAGAGACCGAGAGCCTGCCCTAAAGGCCTGGGGGCAGACAGCTTCTCACTCAGGACCAGGGGCTCCTCAGTACCTCAAAACACCACAACACTGCCCTCAGGGGCCCTTTGGGAATCACTAGCATTCTCTGGACTGTGTGGCCCTTGTACCACCTGTACCACTAGCAACCCCAAGATCTTGTGACAGTTCAGGTGAGCTTGAACCCCAAGGCTGCAGGAACAAGGCTTTTGCTCTGCAGAAGGTCTTCCTGAAGGTCTTCCAGCAAACGATGGGGGCTGGAAGGAGTTGGAAATCATGTGGGAAACTACAGGGAGGAAGAGAATTGCTTAGGTGAGTGGTACAGGGGAGGCAGAGTTTGAGGGAAACTGCAGAGGCTGTGAGGGGAGAAGAGTGGAGCAGAGGCCTGTGCTGGGAGCTCTGCCTCAGCCTTAGCCAAGTCCTAGGTGGCCATGGGGAACTTGTCCTTTGATCCTAACAGTCCTGTACCTCCTTACTCTTGAAATAGCACAGAAGAGGCAAAGTCATGCTCAGTTGAGATGCCTACACTTTGTGAGGCTTAATGACGTCTTACACTGGGATGGACATGTACCACTCCTGTCACAGTGACCTGAGGCAAGTACTGGACCTGTAACCCCTTCTAGAACTGCAGTGAACTTGTTTTGCAGAGGTAAACCGCAGTGTCTTCTAGGACCCAGATGTAGGTATCCAGACTTGGCTTGCATACCAAGTACAGTTTTAAAAGTAAGTACTAGCTCTCATTTTAAAGTTTATAGGTAACATTTTCACCATATAGCTCATTAGTTACCAAGGTTTTGATGTATAGGAAGTTGTTAACATATTGACATTTAAAATAAAATACCATTCTTTTAAAAAATTCTTGTGGATCTGAGTACCATACCAATCTTATATCTATCAAAATCCCTTATAAACTTGAGTAATATTTTCTTTAATTGTCAAAACTTTTATTATTATCACTGTGATAATGATGATGATGATGCAGCAAGTGCTTTACCATTGAGTTAAACCTCCCAGCTCTAACATTCCAAACTTCGGCGTTACCTCTTGAATTTTTATGTTCCATTTCTGGAACTACATTTCCCAAATCATTTTGGCTATTTATCAGGTGCACCCTGACTTCAGTTAAAATAAGTGAGGCCTCTTAACACTCAGTAGTTAAATTGAAACTTCTTAACACTCAGGTTGGTGAAATAGGATCTCCTGACCTTCAAATATAGAAAGTGAGTCCAACTGACATAAATGTTGAGAGGAGAAATCTTATACACTTAAAAAGGAGAGAAGAATTTTTCTGATAGAAGAATCAATTCCTTATGACTTAGGCATGAGAATTAAAAGATCCTGATACTTAAAGTACCTGAGAACCTGACATAGGGAAGACACCCTCCTTATAGTCATCTAGAGGTGAGGAGACCTGATGGGTGTGAAGCAGAGAGAAAAATCTCCGGCATTCCGTTGTTATTATTGAGACCTGCCTACATTTGTAGGGAGAAACAAAACCTCTTGGCTAGCAGTAGGAAAGTAATACATGTTCATATTCAGGTAAGGGGAAGACTTTCAGGCAGTTAAATCATCCTGCCACTCATACAGGGGAAGTAGGCCTTGTCGCTACCTGTAAGCAAAGATGAAGTGTCCTTGTCCTGTAAGAGGAGATACCTTCAGACCTGTGGGGAGAATAGATATTCATGTGGAGAAAATGATAGTGCTCAGGAATGAGGTACATGAGACCTCTGAACTCTCCTGGAGAAAATGAGATATCCTGTCAGTTGAGCAGAAGGGGTGGGAATGCCTGGCACTGAGGTAGAGAAGATAAGAAAGACTTTGTAACATTCATGTAGGGTAAGTGAGATACAGTGTGCTTATGCTTCAGTGGGAGAGGTGACTCCCCTACCCATTTTAGAAGATATGGGAACTCCAGACACATAGCTGAAGAGGCAATGCCTTGTGCCAGACAGAGACAGGATCTGCCTACACTCAATGCAGACCAGGAGCCATGATTCTCAGGCTGGCAACTAAGACATCCTTGTACTCAGAGAGAAGATATGGTATTTCAAGACCCTCAGGTAGGGGAGATGAGACCTTGAGACAAACAGCAGTTGAGAGAACTTTGGACACTCACAGTACAGCCTGGGAGAGGAGGTAAACTGCTGCATTCAGGTAGGAAGATGAGACTCTATTTGGGTTGAGGAGAGCAGACTTGGTGGCAGTCAGGTGAGGAAATAAGAGCACTGACACTTCATCTGGCAGTTGAGACTTCAGAACACTCATGTAGGTGAGGTGCAACTTTTCCACACTCATTAGAAGATGCAAGACCTTTTGACGCTCAGGCAGAAAAGATGCAATGAGGGAGCGCTCAAGTGCTGAGAATGTGACTTCTTAGCCTGTGAGTGGTAGAGATGAGGCCTTTGGCCCTGTGGTGTGTAGAGATGTTCTCACATACAAGAAGAGACAGTGATAGCTCCCTGATACTCAGGTAATATATTTTTGATCCACTAGGTATTCAATTGAGGAGGGCCCATGACCTCCTGGGAGTGATATGAGATGAAAACGTATGAAATTTAGTTAGAGAAGGTACTCAGGCAGAGAAATCAAGATCACCCCATAATCTGAAAGCTCAACACTCAGGGAGAGCAGATGAAATGTCCAGATGGGTAGGAGAAATGGGATCTTGTGATACTCCCAGGGAAGATGCAGGCTTTTGAGCCTCCACTAGGCTGGTGGAAACCCTACTCAGAGTAGGTAAGACTACCTTATTTTTTATTTATTTTACTTTTTGGTCTTTTTGAGACAGGCTCTCACTATGCAGTTCAGGCTGGCCTTGAGCTTACTTCGTAGCCCAGGCTGGTCTTAAACTCGCAACCATCTTCCTGCCTCAGCCTCCTGAGTACTGAGATTACAGGTGTGTACCACAACACCCAGCTAGACTGCCTCTCTTAGATGAGAGCTTTTGGTAGAGTAGATGGGACCTTGTGACACTGTTGCTGGAGACATGAAAAGTTTTAATCTCTGAGAATGTGTATGAACATTTGTCTCACTTTTCTCATTGCTGAGACAAAATACCTGACACACAAAGTTAAAAGAGGAAAGATGTTTTTTGGCTTAGTTTGTAGACGATTAAGTCCATAATTGACCGGCTTCAAGGCAGGGTGGATGGCAGGGGGCATCGAAGAGTAGAAGACAGCAGCAGCAGCAATAAGCAATGTGCAACAAGTGACAAGTGATGATAGCAGCTTCTTTCTGTTCCTTTTATAGTCTATCTAGGCTAACTGGCTTTGGGCACGTGCCAAACCAATCACTGAACTAATTTAGTAATCACACACCCTTAATCCCAGCATTACACATTCTAGATCCAGCCACCTTTGAAAAAGCCTCACCTATGATTGATTGCATGAGGCTTTGGGGGAACATCTAGACACAAGCCATAGCTACACATATCATCATACTCTTTTAGGCAAGTTGCTATCTCTGATAATCATATAGAAACAATGGCATTTCATGATATACAGGTAGCTGTGATGAAAATGGACATCAAAGTATAGGAGAAAACACCTTGCTGCCCTTAGATCCCAGAGAAGAGAGTGTTACTGATTGATGAGTTCCAAGGAAATTTTTTCTAGGTTCTTGGTGTCCTGAATAAAAAGCTGGATAAGATGCACTGAAAAGGTAGTGGGGATGTACATTTATTAAAGGGGGAAAAGGAGTAAGCTTTGCAGAGTGAGAGCAGGCTAGTGAGCAGAGTCACAGAGGCCACGAGGATAGTGGAGGGGAGTGTTTTGGTATGTGGAATTCTTAAGACTGGCTTCTGCCTCCTGCAAATAAGACATCTGGGCAGCTGTTCTATAAAAAGCTCACCTGGTCTGGCACCATATTTAAACTATTCTATCAAAGACTTGCTTGGTTTTGTATCAGATATAGGTGAAGAATGAAAATAATACTTTTCTGATTAGTTTCCAGTACAGTGTTCAGGAACTGCAGAGTCATCTTGGATTCTGCATTCTGTGCATGTGCTCTGGATCTCATGACTTTAACAGATAATGTCCAGATGTTTGCTGGTTTTGCCCCTCTCCTACCTCAAGACCTGGAGATATTTCAAGGAGGAAATAGGAGACTTTGTATGTGTGTTTTGTTTATTTTTATTCATACGTTTGTAGTAGATAATGATCATGTTCTTCTGGGGGGATTTGTACATGTACACAACACATCTTAATTCTTTGTTTTTGTCCCCTTTCTCTCCCCTCCCTCCAAGCCTTCTTCCCCTCCTCATTTTCAAAAGCTCTTATTTCCATTTTTTTCTTTCTTTTTTTCCCTTTAAATCCCTTTTTCTTCCTTCCCCCTCCCCCATCTCTTGTTCCCCTTCCCATTTGAAAAAGTTCTTCCTATTTCTTAATACCTATCCTCCATTTTGCCCCTTATTTATACTTTGGGTTTCTCACACAAGACAAACAATGTGATATTTAAACGTATGTGTCTGATTTGTTTCATTTAAGAGTATAATCTTGAGTTGCAGCCATTTACCTAAAAATGTCTGAAGTTTATCCTCCTTTATGGCAGAGTAGTACTCCCTTGTATTTAAATACCACATTTTCATTATCCATTCATCTGTTGATGGGCATATGAACTGTTTCCAAGATTTAGCTATTATAAATTGTGCTGCTTTAAACATGGATATGCATGTATCACTATGGTATGATGACTTTAACTCTGAGAAGATAGACCTAGCAAAGGAATACCTAGGTCAAATGGACCCTCTAGTTTTAGTTTTTTGAGGAATCTCCACACTGTTTTCTACAGTGATCATACTAATTTACACTCCCATCAACAAGAGAGATGTGTTCTTCTTCCCCAAAACCTTACCAACATTTGTTATAGGTTGATTTCTTGATGATAGCCATTCTTTGTGGCATGAAGTGGAATCTCAACATATTTTAAATTTGCATTTCTTAAATGGCCATTGATGTTGAGCATTTTTTTTCATGAACTTATTGGCTGTTTGAATTTTACCTGAGAAGTGTCTATTAATGAAATTGAAGACTGTTATTCTCAGCAATGGACAAGGAGAATGGCTTTGGGCCATAAATTAAGGAAATTCAAAATGTCCCTTTTAAAAAGTGTGCTGACAGCATACCTGTGGAAGACAGAAAGATATTTCCTTACCAAGTATTAAGGATCCATTGATCTGTTGAATGGGACTCCTTTTAAGTATGGGTATGTTGCATCGTCTTGTCACACAGGACCAAACTGCTCCTCAGTTCTTGAGTCTGCAGTGGTTACAGTTCAAAAAGGGGCAGACTTTGAATCTCCACAGAGTAGTTCCTTGGAAGAAAAATTGTCAGTGAAGACCTTGGCTTTGTGACTGAGGGAATGGAGCTGTACACGAACCCCCATCACCCCAGGGGGTGCAGGAAGTAAGGAAGTCACCTCACAGGAATCAGTTAAACCTAGGAGCCTGTCTGGCCTGTCTGAGGGTGACGGTGGGGATGGGGGTGGGGTGGCCATGCTGATTGGCCAGGAAGCCACAGAGCTCTATGAGGTCACAGCGTGCAGGTCTGGCTGGAGCAAGAGTATGGTGGAGATGCTGCCAACTGCCGTTCTGCTGATATTGGCTGTGTCTGTGATTGCCAAAGATAACACCACTTGTGAGTAAGTGTCAGGGGAACTTGGTGGGGGAGGGTGTCTTCTGAACAGCCCAGGTCCCACCCAGACTCCCTCTGTCCAGCGGTATGGGGGCCCCAAGATTGAGCCTTAGCAGTCTCTGGATCCTACAGCTCCTGTGACCCACATACCCAGCACAGATCCTTCTTGCTCCCAGAGCCATCAGCCCAGAGCTTGTGGGTTCCCAGTTGTCTACAGTTTCCCCTGAGAGGGACTCCTTAGCTCCTAGATGTGTGCCCCCCACTTATCTGGTGACTGATTCCAACACTTGTCAGACATTGAATTCAGAGGTTAGGATCCCCTGCCCTCCCATGGGCAGCAGAAATGTCCCACTCTATCCTGACTCCAGAAGCCTCTAGTACCTTCACTCACCTGTAGGCCTTCCTACCTCCCAGTGGCCCCATATGCCAGCAAGTCACAAACTACTGGCCCCCTGTTTGTGACACAGGGTTCAGAGCTTCTACCTCTGGACCCCTACTGTTCCTAGTGTGCCCCATGCCTATGGGCTGCTGTATTACTTGTAGATACTCTCTCCTTCTGTCACCGTCTAACCCAACTCTGCAGCCCCAAGACCTCTTCACCACCTGTCTCTCTCTGTCCAGGCTCTCTCAGCCAAGACTGGCTCTGAAGACACCAGGTTGTTCTATTATATCTCTGCTTCCAGCTCCTATACCCCAGCTCTAACCTTCTGGTCTGCCCAGGGCCCCCCCCCAACCTCCAGGGCTTGTACAACCTCTTTCTGCATAACCCCCCAAACCATTTCCTGGAGACCCAGGCTGCCTCAACCTAATGCTTACCTCTTTCTCACTTTTCCCAACCCTATGTTCCTGCCTCCCTTAACGTGGAGATAAGGCTGGGTTTGAATTGTTGCCTGGTTTCTCCTCAGTGGCCCCTGCGGGTTGAGGTTCAGGCTGAACCTACAAGGGGGCGTTCGACTTGTTGGAGGGCAGACGGCACAGCTTGGGGCCTGGCCCTGGATGGTCAGCCTCCAGATCTTCATGGCCCACAACAACCGCAGGTACCACGCATGTGGTGGCATCCTGCTGAATTCCCACTGGGTGCTCACAGCTGCCCACTGCTTCGACAGCAAAAAGTATGTGTGGGTATGGGCAGAGGGGGTCCCCAGAACTTCTGTCCAGCCAGTCTGTGAGAATGATTTTTGTGCCCACAGAAAAGTTTATGACTGGAGACTGGTTTTTGGAGCACAGGAAATTGAGTATGGGAACAATAAGCCAGTGAGGGCACCTCTGCAGGAGAGATATGTGGAGAAAATCGTCATCCATGAAAAATACAGCATTGTGAATGAAGGGAACGACATTGCTCTCTTGAAGATCACCCCTCCTGTTTCATGTGGGCAGTTCATTGGGCCAGCCTGCCTGCCCACTTTTAAGGCAGGCCCTCCCAAAATTCCCCAGACCTGCTACGTGGCTGGCTGGGGGTACATCAGAGAGAATGGTGAGTATAGGAGGGGTTTTGAGCAGGGCACTGCTGGTCATTCAAGAGGGGAGGGTCCTGAGGGAGAGTCCTGAGGGTTACACTTGCTAGTAACTCCTGCCCAGCTAGTCTGTGAGAATGATCTTTGTGCCTACAGAAAAGTCAGTCTGGAGTCTGGCTTTTGGAGCATAGGAAATTGAATATAGAAACAATAAGTCAGTGAAGTCCAGAGTTCATCATGGTCCCACAAATACAGCCTAGCACAGTGCCTTTGCACAACTGGAATGGCAAGAGAAGCTGAGTCCCCTGTCCATGGTCACATGATCTGGTGATTTGGTAGCTTTCTAAGAGAAGGCTGAACAAAGGTACAAGTAAAACCTCGGCATTTGTCAGAATGAGGTCAAGGTTGTGTCTGTACCTGGCACATGGAGCCCTAACTTCTGGATTCTGGAACTTGGAAACATACCCTGAAAAGCATTTGAAGAAGTGACAATATGTTTTTGTGGCAGTGGGCTAGTTTTTCTGATCTGTAAATGGAAGGGTCAGATCAGATGGCCTCTGACTTTAGCAGGTACTGAACATCTGGTTGAACATCCTGGCCTTTGAGAGTCCAGGGCTCTCTTTATCCACCATCAGCAGCAGGCTCTTGGGCTCCCCAGCCTTGGGCAGTCAGAGCGCCAACATCCATTTTTCCCATCAGAGTTACTTGGAGTTTTCTGTGTAGAATGGGAGGCAAGCAGGTAGTGTGTACGATTTTTTGAAATTCGTAGTTATTCCAGTATTTCAGGCCCCTTAGAGCTGCCTAACAGGTCCGTTGCCACTCAAGATGAGAGTTGCTGCCTCTCTGTACCTCTCGGTTCTTGATAAAGCCACCTGCCTAGATGTCTCACACACTCAATACTATGTGGCCCACTTGGCACCAGATGGGTAGTGAATTCAGGAATCTTTTCTACAGGAGAACAGCTTATGGAGGGCTCAGGGAGTGGTCAACTGTCACAGCTGGCTCCATGGTTATGGTCTGATTCCCAGATACCCTCTCCACATACTTGAAGCCTAGAGGCACAGTTTATCCCAGAAGCAACAGGTCACTCCCTTAGATGGCAGAAAGGAATAGCAAGGTTTTGTGAGTTTGACCTTGGTCTCCGCACATGACTGATGTTTTCAGCTTCCCAGAGATGGTTGTATGAATTTTCATCCAGTCACAGTAGGGATATGAAAATGTGACTGAAATCAACGCAGTTATCTTTATCTTCTCTTTGATAACAAAAAATGTAAGCTTCCTAATTTAAGGCAATTCAGTCATTTGAGAATCAAAGTTCAGCCATTTTTATAAGACAAAATTAACAATTTTAGGATTATTCCCTTTACTCATATTCCTTCCTCCTAGGGAGGCTGATCTAGTTCCCAAGAGGTTTGTCAATGTCTTATCCCTCAAGGAAGGTGTTCTTATCCCAGCTACTCTTGTTCCCTCTGGCTTTTGCTGACACATAACTACTGCTTCCTGGCCTGGGGTTCCTACCCCCATCCCAGCTGCTGACGCCTGTGGCTCTGCCATGTCACCCAGAGTGAGGAGATAGCATTATTCTTGTCCCACCTTCTATCCACCGTCTGACAATATTCACAGCTCAGGGGTTCTTGTAGTTCATGGGAGGTTGATCTCAGGGTCTCCACTCCACCCACTACCTTTACTATCCTGTTGCTCAGGAGGATTGTAGGCTTCCAGCTACACTTTGGATGCCAAAGAAGACTTTTTGTTCTGGAATCCTCATGGAAATGTAGTGAGCAACCTCTCATCCTTTTAAAAAAAATTTTGTTTCGTTTTTGCAAACACAGCCCCCAACCCCAAGCCCAAGTCTCTGAGAAAGCTGCCAGGTTCCAAACTCTGTGACTTGCTTAAACTTTCCTTGTTTTGCCTCCTCCTTGAACTCATCTTCTCTAGGGCTGGAACAGCTGCCCAAGAATGCTGCTTCTTTTCCTTGAATTTTGAATTCTGTAGGCTTTTTGTGCCTGTAATTTAAAGCCAATGGGCCAGGATTAAGAAAAACACCTTCTGTTTCAGGACACCTGCTTCTTTACAATGAGGCTTATCATTTTCATGCCTATGGGTCCTGCCATAGACTTTAAAAAGTCATTTTAATGGAGAACAAGCCAGAATTATTGTCATTGTTATCTCAGTGTCACTGCTTCCCCAAGGCAGGATACACACAAAACTCCCATGCTCCAGGGATTGGAGAGAAGCCTGGCAGACATACATTCAACAATCATCTACCGAAGGCCAGCTGAGAACTCAGAACTGCACACGTGGCTCTTTGCATGTCCTAGCTTAACATCAGGCCTGCATGGTTGTACTCCAGGTCTGCCCTGCATTGGGCTTCTTCCACCTGTGCTGCAGACATCCAGACCCATCTATCAGGCTTCTGGTGCTGTGTGGGAAGGGACCAGTGCATCTGCTGCTGTTGGGACCCTGCTGCCTGCACTTGCAGAAGAGGCACAGCTACACTGGTCCTGGGGATGTGTTTGAGCCAGATGCAGACTGGTGTGTGAGCTGTAGCATAGCTGGCTTTTCCTAACTCCAGGTCATGATGGAGTGTGGGGCTGTGAAGAAGGCCCCGATTCAGCTCTCTTTTTTCCTAAAATCTCCCCAGAGGAGGTTGGAGGCACTTGGGGAAAGGCTAATGAGACCCACTTCAAAGGATCCTGTCTACAACTAGGGAGGAGCCTGGTGAAAGACAAAAAACAGGGAGGGCGATTTTCTTGCCAGATATTGGGGAATGGAAGATGTGTCTCAGATTTGGGTCTAAGGAGAGGCAATCCTGGCCAAGTCGTAGCCCCCTACGCCCCCACTGTGGCTGGGTGATGCTTCAGCCCCAGATCCAAAATGAGAACAATGGGACCACGCAGATAAGATGAGTGTTGGCTACAACTAACCTCTGTCAGCCTTGTCCACCATGAGTACACATGCTCACCCACCTTTTCCCCTTCATCCTGGTGACAGACTTCCATCTCCACCCCATCCCCTCTTAGTGTGCAGGAGTGTATGAGGAGAGGTGGGATGTTGGCTGAGAGATCTGGATTCAGCAAGACTGTTAGAGGAGGGGGATTTGGTGGAGGGAAGAGGCAAAGCTTCCCTCTGTGTCTTCCTTGATCACTGACCACTGTGTGGCCTGGCTGCAGCCCCCAGGCCATCGCCTGTGCTGCTGGAGGCCCGTGTGGAGCTTATCGACCTTGACCTGTGTAACTCGACCCAGTGGTACAATGGGCGGGTCATGTCAACCAACGTGTGCGCAGGGTATCCAGAAGGCAAGATCGACACATGCCAGGTAACCCTCCTTCTGGTGTCAGACCCCTGGGTCCCTTCAGGCCTCCCCAAACCCTGAGGAGATTTTTTGGGTCACTGTCTCCACTTTCTGCTAAGGGCTCTATTTTAGTGACTCTTTCCCTGGTCCCTTCTCCCAGCATTGTCTATAGTCACAATGGGGACTGGAGGTGACACGCACCAGCTGCCCAGACAGAGATCTATCACCATATTTAGCACTCAAGAATTTAGCACAAAGAATACATCTTCTGAACCTGGTCCCTTCCCCAGAACACAAAGCATCCAGAGTCACACATGCTCCTGTATTCACTAAAGCCACATGCGTGTACCATGGCACACTCACCTCCTCACCATGGGAAACCAGTGCCAGCCGTATTCCTCTCAAATCTCCCTGGAGGCTGTGGTACCAGCTCAAACTGTACCACAACCAGCTATGTTTCTGGCATCAGAAAACCACATAGCTGCAGAAATTGTCCTCCTAGAGCCCATGACCCCCACACAGGGAGGCTGGCTCAGAGTAAGTGACCACTGTGTCCTTTGAGCAGGGGGACAGCGGCGGGCCTCTCATGTGCAGAGACAACGAGAACAACCCCTTCGTGGTCGTGGGGATTACAAGCTGGGGGGTAGGCTGTGCCCGTGCTAAGCGCCCTGGAATCTACACAGCAACTTGGGACTATCTGGATTGGATTGCTTCCAAGATCGGTTCTGGTGCCCTTCATGAGATTCAGCCAGTTACTCTTCCTCCTCCCACCACCGGGCCGCTGCCCCCAGCCCAGCCCCCTTCCTCCCGCCCTCCCGCTGCTAAACCTCCTTGGTATTTCCAAAACATTGCTCGCCCTCCTCGCCCTCCTCGCCCTCCTCGACCACTTCAGCCTTTTGCACCTCAACCCCGACCACCCACAGCCCAGGCCCCACGCCCACCCTCGTTTTCCCCCTCTCCTCCTCCCCCACCCCCTCCTCCCCTTCCACCATCGTCTCCCACCAGACCAACCCAAGGACTTTCTTTTGCTCAGAGGCTCCAGCAGCTCATAGAGGCTCTGAAGGGGATGGGCAATTCTGGTGCAAAGAGCTCTTACATGGCATGGAGACACCAGAGCTCCCAGAACCCATCTCCTCCTCCTGGTTTGAAACTGTTCTCAACAGACCAGTGAACAGTTCATCGGAAATAAATAATAAATGTCTATATTTATAAATATATATATACATGAGGAAAAGCTTTCTGGCCTTTCTCATTGTCCACCTCCACTCAACCCAAGCCTTCCTCCGTCACATCTATCCCCTCTAAAGGGACTGAATGTATGAATTGCTCAGGCATTTGTGTTGTGTTTTTTAAATGTTAAATTTTAAGACCAGAGTAAGGTGACCTGGGACCATGGGCTTGGCATGGTCTGTGTTTCACACTTAGTGAAAGTGATAGGAATTAGTAATGAGGGGCTCAATCTGCATAAGGGAGTAAAAGGAGCCAGGTGGCCGTGAAAGAGTGCCTAGGAAGGAAGGGGCAAGGGTCAAAGTCTTCTAGGAGGTCATGTTGCCTAAGTGCCATTGAGGGCTGAGGATACAGCTCAGTGGCACAGCGCCTGCCTGGCAACCGCAAGGTCCTGAGTTTGATTCCTAGTACCAGGAAAGAAGAAGCTAATGTCTAAGTGCCACTGAGAGACACCCACAAAGAGGCTTCTGTATGGAAGGTTGGACTCCTCAGCAGTCAAAATGAACCTCCACATCAGATGTAGGTGGCTGGCTGATTGAATATTGCGGGTCCAAGTTCATTACTTGCCTGTGGCTAACCCTATTAGTTTCTGTTTTTTTTTTTTTTTTTTTTCCCCCTATTAGTTTCTGGACTCAGGTGAATTTAAAAATGATTTGTTAAAGCTTTTCAGCAGTGTGAATGGGTGTATGGGAGGATACCTTTTGGAGTGGCTGAGTCAGTTTTGAATGTCTTCCATAGCATTATTTAAGATCTTCTGTTTCAAGGAACAGAAATGATTTAAATGCTAAGATACAAAGATATTACACAGAAATAACAGGAAAGACCAGGATCAGACACAGGAATAATGAGGAGCTTGGTGATGCACGACCACAGTCTGAAGTTTTTGCAGAAAGCCTGCGATGCTGTTTGGCAGACCTGCCCCACACTGCCCAAGCGGGGCCAGTGCCAACCAGAAGTGCTTCCCATTGCTTGTGAAGTCCTGGTAGAGAAATCCTAATGGGCTCAGGTCAACTGGCCAGTCTGGTTAGGGTCATAAACCCGACTCAGATGAGAAAGCCCGAGGAGCCAATGCTTTCCTGCCCGGCCTGAAAATGCAGAGATGAGGCAGCCAGGAGTCTTCACGCTTGGGGTTCCTCTGTCTGCTCAGGTTCAGACAAAGCCCCTGCTTCACATTTCATCAGCTCTGTGTCCTTGGGAAGATGTGACCGAAGGTGCATGACCATGAAATAAGGAGTAGGACACATTTAGAGCAGGGCTTGACACACCTGTGCTCAGTGCCTGTGTGTGTCATGTGGGAGCCCACTGGTGAGGAGCTGCTGGTGAATAAGCCATGCTTATCACAGGGACAGTTGGGGGCCACTAATTGTCCCACAAATGGTCTGAAATGGTTTGGTTTGGTCACATGGGAAGGTTGGCATATGGGTCTGAATGGCCCTTACCTGTGTACCATAGCAACATTTGATAAAAACCAAATTTTCTCTGCCTTGGCTAAAAAGCTGGCATTACTAAAATTGAAGTTGGTGATTTATTTTGTTGGCTTTTGGGCTGTCTCCTAAATACAGTTTCTCCTCTCCTCCTCTCCCCTCCCCTCCCCTCCTGTTCTCTCTTTTCCTCTTCCCCTCCTTCTTTCCCGCTTCTTCTCCTTCCTCGTCTCTCTCTCTCTCTCTCTCTCTCTCTCTCTCTCTCTCTCTCTCTCTCTCTCTCTCTCTCCTGGAGACTGAACACAGAGTCTTACATATACTAAGCAAGCTTTACCACTAAGCTATATGTCCAGCTCCTTTAGGCCAAATTTCATAATTGCCCTGGTGCCAGGCACTAGTCATCTTCTAAATACCAAGCAAACACAATGCAAGACAGAAGCCACATTATAGTCCATGTGACCTAAAGAGCAGAGACCATGATTATTTTCTTTCAGTAATATTTTATAATTTTGAGTATTTTTATCTTAATTTGTCAGAATTAATCTTAAGTGTTTCATGTTTTGATACTCAATTTGCTCTTCACCAGTATACAGAAATGTTGATTTTTGTATATTTATCATATACCCTTTCTTTGCTTTTTGAGAATGGGACCCTATCATGTTACCCAAGCTGGTCTTGAACTCTTGGGCTCAAGCAATCCTCCTGTGTCAACCTACCAGGTAGCTGGAACTATAGGAATGTGCTACCACATCTGGCTCAAGAAAGTACTCTCTCTCTCTCTCTCTCTCTCTCTCTCTCTCTCTCTCTCTCTCTCTTTTCTGTACTGGGAATTGAACTTAAGACTTTGTGCTTGTCAGGTAGGTGCTATGCCACTGAGCTTTATCCCGGCCCCAAGAAAGTACTCTTAAAAGAAACTAAAAAACCACTTTCTTTTGCTCAGCTAATCATTTTGAGAGTCATTTATGTGTAGTATGTATCAGTAATTTATTCTTTTATTTATTGCTAAGTACTTTATTGTATACCACAATTCACTTTTCAATTTACACTGGGTTGTTTTCAGTTTGGGCTATAACAAATAAAGCAACTATGAATATTCATATTCCTATATAAACCTTTTATATTTTTGCTTACCACAAAATATGCATATATTTTCATATTTCTTAGAAATTTCTTAGAAATTCATATTTTATAGGCTTAAGTGCCTATGTGAAGAATAGCTAGATTATACAGTAAGTGTGTGTTTAGTAAGTTTTTAAAAAACTGCCAGCAAGCACCTGCCTGGCAAGCTCAAGGTCCTGAGTTTGATTCTGGTACCAAAACAAGCAAAGAAACAAAAACAAACTGCCAAAATATTTCTTTACAGTTGCAACATTTTGGATTCCCCCAGTTCCATCTTTCTACAGCCTTCACAGCACTTGGTATAGTCAGTCTTTTAAATTATAGTCATTATGATAGCTGTATGGAAATATTTCTTTAATTTCCATTTACCTAATGGCTGGTGATGGTAAGCACATTTTCATGTGCTTGTTGCCATCCAAATATCTTCTTTGGTGAAATTTCTCTCAAAATCTTTTGCCTATTTAAAAATTTTTGTTATTTTTTACAGTTTTGAGAGTTCTTGTTATGTGCTGAGAATGAAATTAATCAGTTACACGCACTTGTAAAATATTTTTTCCCTGTTAGAAGTTTGTCTTTTAGGGGCTGTGGAAATAGCTCAGCAGCACAAGTGCCTGCCTGGCAAGCACAATTCCCAGTACAGCAAAAAAGAAAAAGTTTGTCTTTTAATTCTCTAAACTCTGCGTGTGTGTGTGTGTGTGTGTGTGTGTGTGTGTGTGTGTGTGAGAGAGAGAGAGAGAGAGAGAGAGAGAGAGAGAGAGAGAGAGAGAGAGAGAGAGACTGGGGATTAAACCTAGGCCCTATGCATGCGAGGCAAGCAGTCCACTGTTGAGCTACCACCCGTTAGTGCTATAGGCTGGTGGCCAATCTTTGGCACAGGAGCCTTAGGGGATACTCCAGACCCAACTATAGCAGGTGCCAAATAGAAACTGTGGGCTCAGAGATATGATGATTGAAATGAAAACTCACCAGAGGAGTTCAAGAGCAGAACTGAGCATGTAGAGGAAAGGACTGATGAATCTGAAGGAAAAATAATTGGAAAAATTCAGCCTGAGGAATAGAAAGAAAAGAGAATTGGAAGAAAATTGAACCAAATCTGAAGAAACTTTGAACACATCTAACACATTAAGATACAAATTACAGGACAGAAGGAGAGAGGGAGCAAGGGAGAGAGGGAGGAATGTGAAAGGGAGGGAGAGAGAGGGAGGAGGAGGAAAAGAGAGGAGATGGAAAGAAAGTATATATGAAGAAACTATGGCCCCTAAACTTGTCAAACTTCCCAAATTGGAAGAAAGATAAGAATGCACACATCCAAGAATTCTGAAGAACTTGAAGCAGGATAAGTTCAAAGAGACCCGTATCAAAATACATTAAAGTATCAAACTCTCAAAACACAAGAAGAGTAGATTTTGACAGCAGCAAGAGAAAAGCACCTTATATAAAAGTAATCTTCAGTAAGAGTAACAGCTGATTTCCCATCAGAAGGAGCAAAGGGATAAGGTAGTGGTATGACACATTTAAAATTCTAAAGAAAAAAATTTCCCATAGACCAAGAATTCTATATTCAGCAAACTATGCTTCAAAAATGAAGGGGAGATTAAAACTTTTCCATTTAAAAAAAAGTGAAAGATTTCATTACCAGAAGAGCTGTCCTAGAAGAAGCAAAGGGGAATTCTTTAAGCTGAAATAGAAGAAAACAAGTAGTTGGCATGGTGGCATATATCTATAATCCCAGCACTCGAGAGGCTGATGCAGGAGGATTGCTGCAATTTCAAAGTCAGCCTTGGCTACACAGTGAGTTCAAGGCCAGCCTTGGCTACATAGTGAGACTCTGTCTCAAAAAGAAAAAAAAAGAGAATAACTTGAAACCACAAGAAAAATAAATACTGGTAGGGTTAACTATATAACTACACACATAAGCAAGTATTTCTCTACTTCTGATATAGTTTATAGTTTCTGTCCTTTCCTATACAACTTAATAGGTAAATACATAGAGTAATAATCATAAATCCATGTTATAGGCACTCAGAGTATAAATAGTCAATATGTGATAATAACCTAAGGGGAGAAGACAGCAATGAATACTATCAAAAATAAATTAGTATTACATAAATTAGTTTGCAACGAATTTAAGATATAATTGTAATTCTCAATGTAACACTGAGAAAATAAAAAAATATATATGGTAAAAATTGACATATCCCTGTAATCCTAGCACTCTAGAAGCCTGAGGCAGGAGGATCATTATATTTGAGCCTAGCCTGGGCAATTAAGTAATGCAGCAATACCTTGTCTTGGGGGGAAAAACAGCCAGGCATGGTGGCACATGCCTGTATCCCAGCATGAGAAGCTGAGGCAGGAAGACTGCTGTGAGTTTGAGGCAAGCCTGTACTACATAGGGAAAGTAGCTCAGTGAGATGGCCCTGGGTTCAATCCCCAGTACCGTATCCCCCCACAAAACCAA